AAGAAAACAGCTCAGAGGATTTTGACCTGTGACAGGCATGGGGTTGGAAGGACCCCTCTGCTAGTCTCTGGTCAATGAAGAAGCAGCATCTGAATTCAGARGAAAAGTTCTTGCCAAGAATACCAGTCATGAGGCTCCTTGAGGGAAGGGGGCTCTTGTGGTGCTCCCCACCACTCCAGCACAGGGGAGCTGTACCTGTTTCTTTATGGGGAATACTTGTATATGTAGACCCAGAGCTGAAGGAGAAGGCAATTTGTTTCTTTATGTTTAATTTAGGAGTGGCTGCTTGGGGATCTAACCCCAGCTGTTATCAGAGAGGTTGTGGTCTGCAGCTGCCTTATCAGGTATCAGAGAGCCCCCTTGGGCAGGGACTGCAGGAACAGATGCTGACCTCAGCCAGGCAGCAGGAAAACAAACCTCAGCACAAAAGGGCAGGGCGCCACGAAATAGGACTCCTTGAGAAAGGAAACGGAGAAACCRAAGCTGAAATCTTGATTCTTCTAGGAGACATGGAGAGGGATAAGTGAGCAGGGTGAGACATGGCCAGCACAGGGTTGCACAAGGACAGGCTGAGGGTCTGAGCAGCGCCAGCAGCCTGGGCCAGCTGGGGAAGGAGCAGCAACACCTCTGCTGCAACCAAGGGCTGCTTCCAGGGAGGCAAGCAAAACCTGTGAGTGCCAGCCACGCTGCTGCTTTCTGTTTGTCTGCTCTCTGAGGTCTGGCAGACAGACTCCCCTTCCATGTCTGCCTGGTCAGTGCCCAGCACAGCACCAAGGGCCTCTCAGTCCCGCTTGAAAGGAGAGAACAAACCTTTGCCCGGGATGAGACCGACACAGGGAAGGTAGGTGGCCAGCCCGTCCTGCTTTCATGTCTTTTCAGACTGAACGTTTTGGAAGGAAAGTTTGCCTCAGATAGAGCCTCTGTCTGGGATTAATTCAGCTCAAATTTGTAGTCACCACAGGCAGCGGGGAAGCTGCAATAGCTATTAGAGAACAAGCCAAAGAAGTAAAAGCAAGCAGGGATGAAGAAYAGCCCTTGCCCTCCCCCCAAAACAGAAAAGAGGCACAGGGATCCAAATTAAAAAGCAACTACCAGTGGCCAGCACTAGCAAGTCACCGTGGGCTGGCCAGCAGCAGGACAGCCGCCTGGCCAGAGCCTGGCTGCCAGCAAGGAGCTCTGGCACAGGAGCCTGGCACACCCTGCTCTGTGTCCAGGCCCCAGCAGAGCACTCCAGAGCTGACTGGGAAGGCCAGTGGAGCTGAGAGCTGCTGTGAGCTGCAACGAGGGGGAAAGGGAGAGGAGTGCTGCCCCTGCTCCCCACTGCTGCTCTGACACAGGGAAACAGCCAGCTCACCTCCTGATATTGCTGCTGGCCGGGAGCCTCCAAGCTGGTGGTGTTGGTCATTCTTTGGCTGGGGGATTGAGTGGCCAAAATACCCGGAAAGATCAAACTGCAAAAAGCAACGAGGCTACTGCACAGTGGAGAGAGGAAAAAAATGCAATGAGACAGGTCAGCAGGCAGCAGTAGCACCCAGGGCGGCTGAGATCCTCGCTGCCCTGGCAGACACAGGCACCGCAGCCAGAATCTCAAGGAGAAGGCAATCCCACACCTGAAGGCTGAAGGTGTTTCCCCATCTGCTCCCCCGGGCACCGCGCAGCAGCGCCGGGCCCGCGGTCCCTCCCCGCATCGCCCTTCGGACGGGAGGTGGCAGCAGATGGCCACCGACAGCCCGGCCGGGACCGCGAGCATCTCCCGGGGACAGCCCGGTACCCGCGGGAGAAACCCTCCCGGCTCCCAGGGAGCGGGCAGGCACGGCAGGAGAGCTCCCCGGGAGATCCATTCCCCCAGGATGTGCCGTGTCCCCATCCTGCCCGCTGGCTCCGAACCCCCATCCCATTCCACACGCGCCACACCCTGGAAGTGCTTTGCCACGAGTTGAATTGTTTTAAAAACAGCCTTTATCGAGAAAACAGATGGCAGCAGCTAGGAAGYTCTGATTGTTATTGATTAATGCAGGATTAGAGATGGCAATAGRAGATACCGGGAGCAGCAGAAATGAATGCAGATATTAAACAGTGGAAGGGAGGGAAATCATGGAGCAAAAGGAATACTAGAATCATTCAGGTTGGAAAGGAACTCTAAAATCATTGAGTCCAGCCTTTGACCTAACACTGCCAAGTTTGACCTAACACTGCCAAGTCCACCACTAAACCATGGCCCTAAGCACCACATCTACAGTTTTGAAAGAACAGTTCCAGGGAAAGAGGAAGACATTCCATCCAAGTCTCAACAGGCTCTCAGCAATCAAGAATCATGCTCAGATAACCTCAAGATCCACAAGTGTTTGGCCCCTGCATCATCTGTCAGCCTAAACCAGAATAAAGCTTTTTCTGAAGTTAAAAAAAAAAAAAACCAAACTGTAATTATTTTCCAACAATTTGTAATTTCCATTTTCCTCTGCCATCTTGAAAAAACCAATGGAAAATTAGACCAGTCCAGCTGAAACAGGTGGTCTCAGAAACTTGTCCCCTCTCTATTCCCAGTGCTACCTTCCTTAGACCAACAAAACCTGAAAACCAGCTGAATTTTAAAGCTCCYACAAGTCATCTCTCCAGAGACACACAGGAAATTGAGGGTTTAGTCACAGTGCACTGGAACAAAGACACAAAAGAGTGTAGATACCAGTACAAGGAATGGATTGGGACGCCCTGTCAGGCAAGCCTACCTTTCATCCCATCTCCAAAGCCTGRAGCCTGGGTCTCTCCAGTCTCTGTCCCCATTCAGATGCCCGTGTCACACAGYCAACCTCCAGGCACTGCACCATGGGCTTAATTGGCTCCTCTACCCCGAGTGAAAGCTGAACTTGAAAGCWGTGATGTTTGAAGTCACTCCTTCAACAATCCTTTATTGCTTTCATGTGCCAGGCCTCACTTCTGTCACCTGGTGTCTGCCCTTCCAACTGGAGAGGTTCACACACAGCTGTCTGCCAGAAGTGGCAACAGACAGAARCCAGCAGGCAGCTTTCATATCCTCTTCTCAAGAAAGAGATAGCTGCTTCCTAGGAGAGCCCCCCAGGAAATATAATGGATTGTAGAGTGCAGCACTGATTGGGAACTCAGAAAGTCACTGACACCATATCCCCAGTGTCTCAAGGCTTGTTTATCTMCACTTAAAGAATTTCTGATATGATTTTTTTGGGGAATTGGGTTTTTTGGCAGGCAAAGTGTGTGTGTTTGTTTTGGGYTTTTATTTTTTTTGAGCTCAAGCAAGCAAAATTGTATAATCTTTTCAGAAATCCATTAAATATTAACTCCTCTTACCTTCAGAAAATACCATTGTGTGTCTAGGCTCGATCACATTTTCCATCT